ACGAATAATCAAGACGTTCGTACATTTATTCTCCAATAGAAACAATGGAAACAAAGGTAAATAAGACCAACAACTGGACGTAGCCAGCCTGCCAACTTCTATTCATCTAAAACTAATAAAAGTCATCATCAGGGTCTTCTACGTAAACCAATTCATACTCTTCAGAATCTGCAAAAATGATAAGAAGTGGGTTGAGCGATACATCGCTCAGTAGGTAATATTTACCCCTCTATTGGACCATGCACTCTTAATTTTATAGATACATATATATATCAGTACAACTCAAATCGTTTGCATATCATTCACATCCGTAATTTTGAAAGTAACGTTATTTATAAAGCAATCAGTAGTAAAGAATGACACGTAATTTAAAAGCATCTTATTGATAGTTGTACATGAGAAATCGTAAAGTCATAAATTATTTCGTCTCAAGTCGCAAATCTCTTCATAACCATTCGTAAATCAACTCATATCAGTTCATAAGTCTCATTTCAAATCAGTTCATAAATCATTCCGTCAGTTTAGCTCATAACAAATACATGCAATGACCGGCTACTGAGTACTCAGCCTAGAGATTAGACCCATTCTAGGTGGGCAACCAATAGATTTCATGACTATCGATTGATCTCATTTCATTCTTGGGTCAATCGGTCGGACTTTATACCAGACTACCATGACCTTGCCAATCAGCCGGACTTTATACCAGACTACCATGGTTTTGTCAATCAGCCGGACTCTATACAAGACTACCATGGCCTTACCAATCGGCCGGACTTTATACCAGGCTACCATGGCGATTAGACATGACTATAGCCCCTACCGTCTATTCCATGACTGCTCTGAGCTTTACTTGTCAAAATTCATTTCATATATCATATATATAAATCTTTGTTTTCATAAAAGATCCGGCTCATTTGTATATAAGAACATATCAAAATATTTCAAATAAATCATATGGTCCATTTTGTATAGTAAAATATAACTTTCATAAATACACAAGTAAAAAATTTAATCAAACACCTTTCGAGTCAACACAACAAAATGTGATTGAAAACAAGAACTTCATTTTGCATATTTGAAATCTCAGAAGGGTAAGTACCACCTACATTTGTTTAGCTGCTCGAGTGGAACTATCTTAGGTCATTGTACCGTACCTATCAAATACATGAGTTTCCTAATTAGTTGTTACTTCCTATAGATGCATAAATACACAAACTCTGACTAAGTCGAAGATTCGTTTCTAGACCATTATATGGACCCTAATAGCATCCTTCTAAATTGGATGATTTCTATTTTTAGAAAATTTCTTAATTGGGAAGGTTCTCCTTTTAGTAAAGTTTCCTAATTTAAAAGAAAGTAATTATTCATAATCATGCTTATTATCTTGACTACTATCTTATTATATCTATTTATAATTTATAATTATTCATTATTATTATTATCGTCCTCGTCGTCGCTAATTTACTTTATTACCACTTATATATATGTGTTAAATAGTTACTATTACCTTTCCTTTTATTTCTACTTTTATGCATGTATAAGCGTTATTATTATTTACGTACACATGTACATTTATATATATATTGGTTTATTACAATTATTATTGTCTTAGTTTGTCCCACTCGTATTTATATTTTTATCTTCGTTCATATCCTCAATTTATTTCCTCCATGTCCATATTGTCAATATCCTTACAATTATTGTCTATTATTTATTATTTACTATTATTATTATTATTATCATCATTATTATTAGTGTTATCGTCAACATTATTATTTACTACTATGATTATTATCATTGTTGTTATTATTAGTATTATTATTAGCATTATTATTATTATTATTATTATTATTATTATTATTATTATTATTATTATTATTATTATTATTATGACTATGATAAATTTATCTCACCTCGTTTACATTAGCCTCATAAGGCTAAATTAAGATATCCTAAATTTTTCTTTAATTATCTTAGACGTAATGAATTAAATATAAGTTTTACATAACCAATACTTCAATTCTAACAATTACTTTAAATTGGGTCCTGAATTTTAATACCCATGATAACTTATAAAAATGGACTAGTTATATTCAAAATTCATTTATTAAACATTTATTTATTTTATCTTGTATTTGGTTAACATCTAAATTATCCCTTTTTCCTCTTTAGGTTAGAGCCATGGTTGGCCAGAAGGCCAACCATTTTCTTTTTGACCATGGTCGCCAGAGCCTTTGTTTTCATTGGTTGGCCAAAAAGGCCAACTATCTTTCTCCGCCCTTTTTTTTTTTTTTTTAATTTCCTTTGGGTTGGACCCATCCACCAACCATCCTTGACTTGGTTGACTGATGGCCAATTCTTTCATTAGGGTCATTTGTGACCCCAAGGCTTTCTGTCGTTGCTGGCCTATTGTCAGCAACACATGCTGGCATTCTTTTTTTTTTTTGTCTTGGGTTGGCTGAAGACCAACCTTTGCCAATTCTTTTCTCTGCCGCCACTTTCCATGTGGCGTTGCAGTAGCCAAAACAGGGCAGCGGCGGCTGGCAGATTTAGGCAATTTATTCATCCAAAGATCAGAATCTAACACCCTATTTCTACTAATCCAAATATGAATTCTCCTAAATTTCTTGTAGACAAGTATATATCTCTATATATGTAACATAATACAATCCGTAAAATCTTTAGAATAATTAATCCAATTAATAGAATTTAAACAAGGAGTTTTCACATGAAACTGAGACTTACAGGTTTAGGTGCCTAGTTACCTGACTGATTGACAGCGATGCCTTCTTCTCTTTCTCTACTCTCTGACGGCTCTCGCTCTAAGGGGAGGCAGATAATGAAAGGGAGGAATGATATTTTTTTTTGATAAGTGTGCTAAACCCTAATAACCACCCACTAGTAGATGGGTTAGATAAGAGTTTTAACTGCTATGAACTTTTACCCTATCTTATCTCATTTCTATCTCTCAGTAATCCTTTAACCTATCCTACAATTATTTTTTACTTTTACTCATGGTAAATATCCATTTAGTTAATTGGCAGAAATAAAATTGAGCCAAAAATCGTAGGTTTTACATTCTACCCCCCTTACAAAAAGTTTCATTCTCGAAACTTACGTACCTTGATAAAAAAAGATAGGGATATCTATTCAGCATGTCTTCTTCTAACTCCCACGTTGCTTCTTGCGGTGTATGGTTCATCCATTGCACCTTCACGTAGGGCATGGTCCTTCTCCTTAGAACTTGATCTTTCCGATCCATGACTCTCAAAGGAATCTCCTCTACCGACAAGTTCTTCCTCACCTCAATGGGTTGATCCTCCAAAATACAGTTCAGGTCAGATACGTACTTCCTCAGTTGGGAGACATGAAAAAAACATTATGCATCATTGCCAAAGCAGGCGGGAGAGCCAATCGATACTTTAGAGGTCCAACTCTATCTAGTATTTCGTAAGACCCTACATACTTCGGACTTAACTTGCGACTTCTTCCAAATCTCATCACTCCCTTGGTAGGGGATACCTTCAAATATATCTTTTCTCCCAATTGAAACTCTAAAGGTCTCCTTTTTTGAATCTGCCCAACTCTTGTTTCAGTCCTAAGTTACTTTTAATCTTTCCAGAATAATCTTAATTTTCTCTAAAGTTCGTTCCACCAAATCAGGGCCAATGATCAGCTTTTCACCTACTTCATCCCAATATAAGAAAAATCTATATTTTTGCTCATACAACGCTTCAAACGGTGTCATACCTATCCCACTATGATAATTATTGTTATACAAAAATACCATTAGTTTCACCAACCTATCCCAATTATCCAAGAAGTCTAGAGCACTAGCTCTCAGCGTGTCTTCCAATGTCTGTATAGTCCTTTCCGACTGTCCATCCATTTAGGGGTGGAAGACGGTACTAGTCTCAGATCGGTCCTCATAGCCTCTTGGTAGGTCAACCAGAACCTAGACGTGAATCTAGAGTCTCAATCTGACACTATTTTGGCAATTCATTTTTAGACCAGATATCACATTTTCTCCCCCTATAAAGGTTTCGTCCTCGAAACCTAAAAGACATAAACATCAAAATAAGTTAACAAAATTTTCAATGTTCTTGCAATACATCTTGGGAATTATTCTTACAATATCCAAATTGGATTTCCTTATTTAATTCCATCAAACTTCTGCTGCGCACTTTTATTATCCTCAATATCTCTCATTTTCATATTTATATAACTCAGATGGACATAATATCTCTCACAAATCCCACATTTTAAATAGTAGCTTATAATGCTTCATAGAGATCAACCTATAGAAAGGATGTCATAAACACTAATAGTACCATTTCTTCTTTTGTCTCACATTCTATCACAACTTACTTATCCACTATCACAAAAAGTAGTGATTATCTCAATATATGGGTTCCTGCCCACTGCGTTTGTAATTAGTAATGAAAATCTCTTATTTCCCTCAAATCTCAAATCTAAAATACCATTACACCTATTTTCAGATCCTATAATCTGAGTTATTATACCACTAACTGCCATGAGAATCTTATTTCCTTTGGTCAATTTTTTTTTAAACCTAGCTCCAATTCAATTTTCGAAAACATTAATATCCCAAATATCATTTCTCACACTTCCGGATCATAAAACCTAAGTTTTGATACAACTAAAAAATCATAGCAGTCTCTTATTTCTTTTGATCTAATTTTTCATCTTCTTTTAATTTCCAATAGATAATACTTCAAATACACATAATATTTCCTACACGTCTGACATCTTAAACATAGAGTATACTATCAAAATTACATCCAATAAAAGGACATCATAAACATCAATTGTACCATTTCAACTATTCACACATGCAAATTTTCAAACCCATTTATTTAGTCTTTTTTTTTTGTTGTCGAAACGATAGTTTTTTCATATATATAACGCTTTAAACTGTACAATATTTGGACAAATGTCCATAGAAGAGGACAAACGTCCTACCAAAAAAATCTTGGTGCCTAGCACCTAAGAGTGGGATTTACCCATTCTTCATCTATCCAGATGTTTAGAGCATGCAAGCTCAATTTAATACTGCCTACTATCCCTGTATTAGCAAAAGAGAAAGAACACTTATGAAACTGATTACTAATGAACTGGATATCTTCCATTAGAGTAGCCATCATATGGTTGCATTGCCTCGAACCTTTTATACACTCCATCAGCTCCTTGATATCGAGCTCCACTCTGATACTGCTCCATCCTTGGCTGATCGCATTTAGTAGCGCAAGTCTCACTGCTACCGCTTGATCTTGTATTGGCTCAGTTGATAATCTTTCTCTTAGAGCCCAGCCCGCTTGAATTTGTCCCAAGGAGTCAGTTGCAGTGATTCCTATCCCAACTATTGCTTGTCTTTTGTCTTGATGTGTATGGATCTTGATCAGTAGGCTGGTTTGGCTCTCGTTTTGCCCAGGCTCTTGTTCAGTTCGTTGCTGTATTTCTGTTTCCTGAGTGTTCTTCCTTACTACGTTGCCTTTGTTTGCCTCATCAAACTCTGTCCACTCCTTCATGGCTCTTTGAATAATCTTGTGTGGTTCCCTTTCTTTGTAGTTGAATTCTCTATCGTTCCTTGCTTTCCATATCTGCCAGAGGATATTAATGGTGAGGTTCACCTGATCCTCCCTTCCTCTGTCTTGTTGAGCTTCCATTATTGCTGTCCACCATCTTATGAAGCAATCTAACAGCTCCATATTTCCATCCCACTGCACCGGTGCCATCTTCCAAATTTCCTTAGCTTTTGTACACTGGATCAGTAGGTGTTCAAGAGTTTCCTCCTTGTCTCTACACCCTATACAAATAGGGTTCCCTTGCCTTGTTCTTCTGTGTAGTTCTGCTCTCACAGGGAGACCACCATGCAGGCACTTCCAAATGAAAACTTTCATCTTCTGGCTTACCTTTTGCTTCCATAGTGTTTTCCAGATTTTAGATATGGTCCCTTCATAGCTTGTTCCAGTTTCCTCCCTCCTCCTTGTACTTTCCAGATTCTTTTCCATCATCCATGTCTTATAGCCTGACTGAACTGTATATTGTCCATTCTGCGAGTGCGTCCAGTAGTAACTGTCCTCCTTTCCAGTTAGGCTTATAGGAATTCTCAGGATCCTCTCAGCGTCTTGTGAGTTAAAGATTCTAAAGATCAGCATTGTGTTCCATCTGTTGTTGATCATCAATTCTGATACATACTGGAGGTTACATCCCTAAGGCTTTGCAGACGTTGGCTTCCCAGATGGTCTGTCTGGAATCCAGTTGTCCTCCCATATGCGTGTGCCTTTACCATTCCCAACTTTCCTCCTGCTTCCATTTAGGACATCTTTTCTAACAGTTGATAAGCTTTGCCACAGCCATGAAGCATTCTGAGGCACCTTGCAGCTAAAAATGGATTGTTTAGGATAATATTTCGCTTTTAGGACTTTACTAACTAACAAGTTAGGTTGTGTTATCAACCTCCAGACTTGTTTGGCTAGTAGAGCTTTGTTAAAAATTTGCAGGTCCTTGAAACCCATTCCTCCTGTACTTTTCTTTTCAATCATTTTCCTCCAGCCAATCCAATGCATCCTTTTCTTTCCTTCAGATTCACCCCACCAGTAGTCTGCCATTTTGGCATTAATATCTCTACAGAGCTTGTTGTGTAGTCTAAAACAGGACATAGTGTAGGTAGGCATAGCCATCGCCACCGCCTTTAGCATAATTTCCTTGCCAGCCTGACTCAGCAACTTGTTCTTCCACCCCAATAGTTTATTATCAATTGAGTTCCTGATAAAACCAAACACCTGCTCTTTTGACTTTGTAATGATCATTAGTAATCCAAGATATTTGCCTTGTCCTACCTGCTGGATTGACCCCATTGTTTGACAGACTTCATTCCTCACTGGTTGGGTTGTATTTTTGTTAAAGAACACAGAGGATTTATCCATATTGATAAGCTGGCCGGTAGCCTCTTCGTACACTTTTAGTATTTGCATTAACTTTCTAGCTTCTTGAGAGTTGGCTTTGCAGAATACTAGGGAGTCGTCCGCAAAGAATAGATGAGTGATAGCAGGAGCTCCTCTACTGATCTTAACCCCTGTTAGCTCCTTCCCCATCTTTGCTTTCTGCAACATATGTGACAGTCCCTCTGAACACAGCAAAAACAGGTAGGGAGATAGTGGGTCTCCTTGTCTGATGCCTCTTGAAGGGGTAATGAATTCCCTATGCTCTCCATTTATGTTGAAGGAGTAGGTCACTGAGCTGATACAGGTTGTAATCCATTCTATCCACTTGGTGCAGAAACCCATCTTGGCCATTATAGCTTTCAAGAAACCCCATTCCACCCTGTCGTAGGCTTTGGACATATCCAGTTTCACAGCCATTGAGCCTACTCTACTATGTCTTTTATTTTTCAAAAAGTGTATCAACTCATGAGAGAGCATGACATTGTCTAAAATTTGCCTACCAGGCACAAAAGCTGATTGACTCTTGCTAATGCATCTACACAGGAAAGGCTTTAGCCTGTTGGCAAGAATTTTAGCTAGAGCTTTGTACACTACTTGGCAAAGACTTATAGGCCTGTACTGTTTAATCTCAGTGGGGCAGTTTACTTTTGGAATCAAGGAGATAACAGTGTGGTTAATGGCTTTAAGCAGGACACTGTTATTAAAGAAACCTTGGATTGCACTTACTAGATCCTTATGAATAATGCTCCAGAATTTTTGAAAAAATATAGGAGACATTCCATCATTTCCAGGAGCCTTATTAGGATTCATAGAGAAGAAAGCAGCTTTTATTTCCTTTTCCTCCACTCTTTTAGTTAGCTCCCTATTCATTTGTTCAGTTATAGAGACAGGAATCCCCTCTAAGATTTCGTCTAGCCCCCCTGGTCTTGAACTCTTAAACAGTTCCTTATAATAAGTGGCTACTTCCTTTCCCACCTCCTCTTCAGTTTCTGTCCACTCTCCACTAGCCTTTCTCATTTTCTAAAGCCTATTCCTTCTCCTTCTCCCCTTCACAGTTGCGTGGAAGAACTGAGTGTTTTTGTCCCCTTCTTTTAACCATCGCACTCTTGCTTTCTGGTTCCAGTAAGTTTCTTCATCCTCGTATGCCATATTCAACAGTCCTTTCATCTCCTGTATTTTTTGCTTCTTGTTTTCTGCATTTGATTCCTTCATATCCTCAATCTGATTTTTGCACCATTTGATTCTTTCCATCGAATTCCCTTTCTTACTACTGCTCCACTTTAGTAGTTCAACCCTACAGTTCCTGATTTTCTGTTTCACCTTGAACCATCTTGTCCCCTCACAAGGTGTGTTCCATGCCTCCTTCACCACCTCCTGAATTCCATCATGCTGGAGCCATCTTTTGTCGAACTGGAATCTTTTTTTCCATTTCTTCCTTTCCTTCTCTGTATCTAGTACCAGCATGCTGTGGTCTGATGCATGTGACTCAATATGTGTGCATTTGGCTTCCTCATAGCAATGTGACCATTCAATCGAGCATAAACATCTGTTTAGCCTCTCTTTAACTTCACCATTCCCGTTTCAGTTATTGGTCCATGTCCATGGCTTGCCTTCAAAGCCAATATCCATCAGCTGATTTTCATTTATAAACCTCTTAAAGTCTTGGAAGGTTCTGTTATCTCTCATTCTGCCACCCTATTTTTCATCATTTGAGGTGATATCATTGAAATCTCCCATAATCATCCATTTGTCTCCCCATCCTGCCTTCCTCCTTTTTAGTACCTCCCATTGTCCTTTCCTTATCCGGCAATCACAGCTTGCATAGATACCAATAAACCACCAGCTTTCCTTTTTTTCCTCGTCTTCCACTTTTGCTTCTATAGTAAAAGCTGTTCCTTGTACTTCTGTGATCTTGACATCATTGGTCCACAAAAGAGCCATACCACCACTTCTATTCATGGCTTCAACTATAAAGCTATTATCAAAGTTCAACATTTTTTTTACTTTTTCCATGTATCCTTTCCTGTTTTTTGTTTCACTAAGAAAGATTATGCTTGGGGAGAGAAGTCTATTTTCCTCCTTCAAGTGGGGAACTGTCAAGGGGCTCCCTGCACCTTGGCAGTTCCACACCAGAACTCTCATGGATGGTTTAGAGACCATGTTGGGCTGGTCTCTTCCACCCTGTGCACCTGTCCATTATCTTTCATTTCTTCTACTTATTTTTTCCTTTTAGCCATCTGTTCGTTTGATCCCAAATCAGGCATTTCCTCATCAGTGATACTCAGCTTCCTTTTAGTTATCAATCCTTTCCTTGGTTCCAAGTTCTGAATCTCATGCAGAGGTTGTCTACCTCTTCTATTCTTCCTGTTTAAAATTCTTACTCTTCACTCTCTTTTTATTTCTCCTTCCATGACCTATTCTGGCACTTCCTCATCTTCCTGCATGTCTATGTTCATCACTACACCTTCATCCACACTAGTACCTTTGTGCATATGCTCACTCTCTCCAGGCACTGATGAGATTCCTTCTATTATAAGCTCATTCACCCTTCTCTCCACTTCAGTGCCTGTATCCTGATACCCCTCTTGCATACCTCCTTCTCCTTCCTTCACTCTCTTGACCTCTTGTGCATCTAGGCTCTCCACATCTTCCTGGTCACAGGTCTGTATACTCTCATTGAGCACTTCCTTATGACCCTGCAAGGTGTCTGAGCTCTCAACCTAGGCTAGGCTTTTACTACTTTCAGGTCTGACTGATTTGGGCCCCTGTTCACTGCTTTTCCCATTATTTTTCCTGACCCATTCCCCATTTTGAAATCCCCACACTTGTCTATCTGGATGGTACGAGTTGGATCTGCCATCCTTTTGTGGGGATACTTTCCCAGTCTGAGCTCGTAACCAGGGTCCATACTGGTTTTCTTGTTGACCTTTTTTAATATTCACCTCATTCATACACTTTCTTTAGTCACAATTGATCATTTCCTAGGGTGTACTTCATCTAAAGAGTAAATCGTACCTCAAACTCTGTTATCATTAAATATTATGAAAATCTCTTATTTCACAACATTCTATCCAACCTTATTCCCATTTTCTAAAATCACTAATATTACAATTATCATTCAACATACATCTAGATCGCATAACCTAAACTTTGATAACATTAAAAATCAGATGAATCTCTTATTTCCTTTAATCCTCTTTTTCTTTTCATCTCATTTCAATTCTCAAAATCCCTAATACCTCAAAAACCATTTCACATACTTTCAGACCATATAACCTAAGCTCTGATACCACTAAAAATGTCACGCCCCGAACCCGCATGTGTTCGTCACATGACATCCACCGTACTCCCAAATCTCACTCAGGAATACAAGGCTACATTAACTAGTTAACTTTGATAGTACTAAATAATTTAACTAAATAAAGTGCGGTACGAATTACATATAAAAGGAAGTCTACGAATAATCAAAACGTTCGTACATTTATTCTCCAATAGAAACAGCGGAAACAAAGGTAAATAAGACCAACAACTGGACGTAGCCAGCCTGCCAATTTCTATTCATCTAAAACTAATAAAAGTCATCCTCAGGGTCTTCTACGTAAACCAATTCATACTCTTCAGAATCTGCAAAAATGGTAAGAAGTGGGTTGAGTGACACATCGCTCAGTAGGTAATATTTACCCCTCTGTTGGACCATGCACTCTTAATTTTATAGATACATATATATATATAAGTACAACTCAAATTGTTTGCATATCATTCATATCCGTAATTTTGAAAGTAACGTTATTTATAAAGCAATCAGTAGTAAAGAATGAAAAGCAATTTAAAAGCATCTTATTGATAGTTGTACATGAGAAATTGTAAAGTCATAAATCATTTCGTCTCAAGTCGCAAATCTCTTTATATCCATTTGTAAATCAACTCATATCAATTCATAAGTCTCATTTCAAATCAATTCATAAATCATTCTGTCAAATCAGCTCATAACAAGTATAAGCAATGACGGGATACTGAGCACTCAACTTAGAGATTAGACCCCTTTTAGGTAGGCGACCAATAGATTTCATGACTATCGATTGATCTCATTTCATTCTTGGGTCAATCGGCCGGACTTTATACCAGGCTACCATGGCTTTGTCAATCGGCCGGATTCTATACCAGGCTACCATGACCTTACCAATCGGCCGGACTTTATACCAGACTATCAT